GCACTAAATGCACAAAAAGGTATAAAATAAAAACAACGGGCAGGAGGATAATTGTATTAAAACCAAAAGTGGATATCATGATAGTTTGTGATATATCTGTAGCATTATACATTGCAAATGAATGTTGTTACCCTAGGGTGTTTCCTTTATTAATGCATTTATTAATGATACTTGCACTTACCTATTTCATTACAATTTAATGATTCACCCCAGCACTTTAATTTTTCTAAAACAGATTCCAATCCCTTGTAAAAGGTGTACTTACCTCAATATTGGTCGGTTATTGTATGCCTACAACCACGGGATGAAAACGGAACGAAGTCGATTTTCCCGCTCAACCTGGAGGACAACTGTACAATTCAATAACTATACGGCCTAATTCAGAAAATGAGTGTATTATATGTATCGAATATTTAACAGTTGAAATACGATTAACTTGTAGACAATCTACGATTTGATATTATATCATACTTGATCGTGACTGTAAAAATGGCATGCATTTTCATGTAAATTTGTAAATTTATATGAAATACATTATTATTAATATTATTATTATGAATCCATATTCCGACTATTGAAATTTGGCTTCTCAACGATATGTTCAAAAAATTTAATATGGGTTTATATGGAACAGTTAGAGTTCATCAAAAATGTTCGAGAATAAGACTAGAAAACCTTGCGTATTTAATCAAGAGATTAATTGATATTCATCATTGCAATAGCCACACAGTAGATTAAAGTGGTGTATTTTTACCAAAGTCTACCTGATAATATAAACTTATTAAAATTACTATTCTATACTGTCATATGGCACCTAAATATTTTCAAGATGCAATAATACGCGGTTGCATTGGGTGTGAAGGCAATTTAAAATGAAGACAATAATTCATACTGATGCCGATTCAAGCTAAACATACTCTTATGGTGAGGCTGATTCTTAAACAAAATCAAATGGATACATGCATAGCAAAAAAGACAGATACATCAAGCCATCTTAAAAGTCATCTTAAAAACTGTAAGTTTTGATTTGTTTTAAGCAGTGACTTCAATATTATCATGAACTTACTATCATCTTGTATACACTTGGTAATTTTTGCCATAAGTTCTTTACGCATCGTATCGGGAGTCTTAGTTAATCCAGCCCGGAAAACCCATTGCGCTAATCTTAAGTTGGGAATTTTCTCAAGACCTTCTTCTTCAAGACGCTCCAGAGGCATTTTCTAAACTTCTCTGACCGTGCAAAATGTTTGAATTGTCCTCCTTTCACAAGGTCGACTTAAAGTGAACCGAGGCCGTTAAAGGCTTGATGCAAAAGGATAAACTAAGTTGGGATTTTTAATTAGGTCCCCGGTACTTGTGTATGATTTATGGGAGTCATCGTTCGAATCATGTTACCGGCAGATGTAGCTATGGCACCGTCTGTGGACGCCTTTAAGCGAAGGATGGACAATCATGCAGCGACACAAGGACCTCATCCAAATGGCGTATCCCCTTAAATCCCATACACCATTCGGCGTAGACAACTAATTTCGTCGTTCTACTTCTTTACATTCTCTCCCGTCTTACTCTGACAACTAACTACACTATTATTATTACTGATATAGATATATATAAAATAATAATAATTTATATTTCGTATAAACGGGTAGGTTTACAAGAAATGCATGCCACTTTTACATGCATGATCAGTAACGTTATAAATTACATTCCTGAAGTATTATAAATCAATAATTTTTCAAAAGCTTGAACTGTTCAATTATTGTACAAGCAATTAGGAAAGGTTCTTATAAATGTTAAATTGTAAACCCTTCACTGAAGTCACCATCAAAGTTGAGCGACAACCCAAACTTCGTTCTGCTTCTTGCTGATAGTTATGGTCAACTAGTGAACAGCGTATATCTGAGTGAGTGCTATGCCCCCACGTGCTTGAAAGCTATTTCAGGAAGAGAAGGAAATTCCGAGCAGCTGCAAAATGGTTTAAAATGCAGTTGTGCATAATACATTATTGGAAGTATATTTACAAGATAAATACAAGAAGAAGCTATATAGTACTTGAAATGATAGTATACATTTGCAATGTTTAATGCTAACCATATTAGTCTAAGCATGGAGACTATCACGTTTCCGATGAAAATAAAGCTTTGTTCAATCATTCGTGTTTTCGTGTTTTTAATCAAATCAACCAGACTTAAAGCAAGCAGCAAATAATAATAAAGAGCAAGTTTCAGCTTCAATAAAGGCCTAGATAGTTAAGATCAGATAGAATATAATAGTGCGTAAATAGAAAGATGATTGTGAGGTAGGTAAGTGGTATTTAAGTGAGGAGTGAGTTCAAAGATCTGGAAAATTAGAAGCCGGAGAACAAGCTGACCCGTAAGATGCCTCACGAATTTCTGTAGGGCCTAATGGGTAGCATCTTGACAAGAAGCTGAACAGGCTTGTAGATAGGAGCCAAAGCACATTTTTATTTATAATTAGATCTGTACAATACTTATTATTATTTGTTGAGGGTCCAGATTAATGTTTAATTCTCGGGCTGTCAAAAAATGCATGTTGCTGTCGTACAGATTGGAGCGATTCACAATTGTGACCACTGCCATATCTGCTGATCAGCATGCGCCACCCTCCCTCATTTTTTGATGTTAAGCTCTGAGATTTTTTTGCAAACTGTAGTTGCAGTATTGCATTGCTTTAAGCCCGGCCCAATCATACAGCATGCTGCACATTAATAGCTTTCATAACAAGCGCTTCCCATTGGGTCACCAGATACATCGGTACCCGAGGATATTCCTAGCACTATCAACTTTATACATGCATACTTGTATGCAAGTATTTTTACAAACGCCTAGGAAATTGCGTTTACTTTAAGAAGTATAAAGTATAGAAGTAGCTAGTATTACAGCAACTAAGTTGTAGTCTATTTATCAAAGTAAAATGTGTAGTGGAACAATTAATGATCAGTTATTTATAATGATCCTCAAGAAATTAGCTGGTTAACAGAGCTAGTTATGCTAAACTTTTATGACAGATTTTCATACGGTACATATTATACATTCCAAAGTAACACTTCAACTTTAAGAATCTTAAAAATAATGGGAAATATCATAAAAATTATACGTTTTAGAAACTATATGAGAAAAGGTGGTTGTCAGTGGACGTGAAATTGAATGTTTGTTTATTGGTGAGCAACTCGAAGGCGCGAATGGTACGATCGCGTGCAAGTTGGAAGACGGAAGAAAGAACACGAATAAAAGTACTTTATAACTTCATTTGTACTAAACATTTGTTTGTAGACTTTGTGTTTTGTCTTGCTTTAATTACCAAACAATATAAATTCGTTCAAAGAATACCGGCGTTTTGGATTTAAAGTTTGGACAAATACATAGTCATTATCGATTCAAAGCGTCTTCGTTACAATAGGAACTTAGGGCTTAGTTCCTTCACAGTGGTTGTTGGCTGAGTAAAGTCATTTCGACACAAAAAATAGCATTGTATTATTAACTGTATATACACACGTAAAACATCAACTTCCAATTTTTTCAGCTGCCCGTTGTTGCATTTTCTTTATTTCTGTTTCTGTCTGTTAGTCTGAATAACTGCTCTAATTATATCTATTATTACTCTCTCTTTTCTTTTGACGATACCGAAGGACTAATTGTTGAAAGATCAACTCCATTCACAGTAGTAACAGTCTTAACACACCTCATTCTACAAACCACATATAATTAATCCCAATACTACTTCTTTTGAAGATAATTACATCTACCACAGTCAAGTGGCGGGACGAGCTACGCAGAAGTTTACCGAAGATCAGGAAACTATAACTCACAATCAAGAGGCGAGCACAAAGAAATCAAAACGGTTTACACTAGCTCGTAAAAATGATATTGTAAAAAAATAGATATTCTCTTGTGAAACCGTCAGCCCTAATAACACTCTATTTTACCTGAATCGACACCACGAAGAGTGAAAGCAGGGGAATCAAGAAAAGTTCAAAGCCGTGCGAAGATATACTAGGACCGTACTGCTCTTTACGGGAAATTATTTTTAACTTCTTGTATCTATGAATTATTTCTAGAGCCAGTAATTTGCATCAAGTAAACCAAAAATTGTGTTTGGTGGGTGCACAAAAAAGTCACCGCCAGCACAAAACATATAATGTAGGTTTATTTTTCAAAATTCTCACCCCGGTCACTATTTTCCATAATGCATGAAATGGGTGAGGTAGAAAACCACCCTAAACAAAATAGTCATTTATATTGTTTGGTTGTGGGAGGAAACGATTCGTCAAGTAGTCTGAGTGAGGTAATCTTCGCTAATTTCAGACTTCAACATTCATGCGAGTATTTTTGAACTTTTATTGTTATACACCACCAGCATTTTCTACTACAAATGCTCATTAGCAAGCAACAGTTGACACTTGCGAAGTGATGACCTTACAAAAAAGATTATCGTACGTACACTCCAAGCTTGGCTTCGAGTAAACTGGTACTTTTGGAGTAAACCCAACCAAATTTCCATCACAAACCGGCGAAATGTTCACATAGTACTAAGCTTTTTAGACGAAAATCACTGGACATCAGAATTAATGAATAAACTGAAAAATAAAGTCCTCCTGGTGACACATTGTGACATGACAGGAAGTGAGACGGTCAGATCACCAGCGTATTTGACGAAGTTGCTCTCATTAGAAAGAGAAATGTCATGTAAGACAAGAGAGAGAAAAAAGAAAAGGAGAGATAACAGTACCCTGAGGAACACCAGCTTCACCAAGCAAGGTGGAAGATTTACCCTAACATACAGTATGCTGCATTCTATTTGGGAAATGATAATGCAACCAATCAACTGCCCAGGACTCATGTTTGTACGACCGAAACCTTGATCAACTAATGTCATCTAGGTCCTGAGTCAACAACAACGGCATATGCTGAATGACTGAAAGCTCAGCACAAAAGCGACAAGGCACAAAAACACTTGCAAAGTAGGAGACGAGTCCTGGGTGGAAGAAGAGATTGCTGAAAGGCTTCCATTTTTCAGTTGGCAAAGAACTAGATTAAGAATTTCACTTATCATTTGTTGACATTTTGGAGATCATTATTCAATGTTTTGCATTTAGTTGTGCCTACACCGTGTCATTCTGACTCGCTTTCGGTATGAGTTTGCAAAGAAGTCCACCTGTTTAATTTACCACATTCCATGTAGCACACAAAGGTCTAGACATAAAACTAAATGGAAGTTTAACGAGCGAAAATTTGAGGGAGAATAATAGCGACAACATGAGTTGAATAGATACGTGAGATTACACAGAGTGAATGCATCTGTGCCATAAACAAAGACTTGCAGACATATATCTAGTAGTTCTTCTAGCTGACTGTCAATGGTTTTATGAACCAATACCAACTTTACATTTGACCGACCCAAACACATTTTGAACCTTAACATGTGCTGGCTAACATTATCCCTCGAGGAAGGCGATGGCTTGGTATGCCATCACGTGTTATAGCCATCTCAACCTATTCAGCTTCCCTACCCTGGAGACTAACTTAGCCCCCCCATATAAAAATTTATGCGTAACCTATACATCACTCGCCATACCATACTGCTTTACTCATGAGATAGAACACAGACACTTATAATCAAACACCGGTATTCTTTTCATATTTTCCAGCATCAGGGGTTACTTCTCATAGTCTAGGTGTACAGTATCATCAGCAAAATGTAAGTTGATGATGACAAGTCTCTAAAGTCATTTATAGACTATCCTACTGACATATGTGTGATTGGACTGAAATGATGTAAGGATGACAGTTTAAGAATTCAGCCTTGTGTTACATCCCAATTGCAAATGTGTTTTCTCGGATAATTCGCAAACAGTAATCACTGAATAGAAAACATGCTGTAGAATTTATGAAACTCATTAACTGACGCAATACTTTTGCAGGCATTATAGTGTTTCCTCAATAAAGCGAGATTTGTATATTTCGGCTGCATAAAACGAGTAAGTGGTATCCTGGCAATACCAATGACTACAACAAGTCTTGGAATTATGCACTACAACTTTTACTTTACTGAATACTCCAGCAGATTTTAAATAAACACTCGACAAATATCAAATTTATGCAGGAAGTCAGTAAGATTTGGTAAACTAAAATCACTTTCGGTTTCCATAGGAGTTCTCCACGCCGAATTTATTACTTTAAGGGCCTACACAGATTAC